CAAGTGCCTCCAAGTACCTATTGTATGAAATTTAGATCTATTGTACTTAGTGTATTGGAAAGATTGTCTACACAATAGATACTCGGAATAGATACTAGCCGAAACGTGAGATAGATAGTAAAAATTAGGAAGAGTCACAGAAATCACCATGTTGTACTGAAGAACAGAATTTAGGCTGCTGTTAAATTCTTAATTTGGCAGTTTATCAGATCACATTCTCTGAGCAGCTTTAGGTTACTGAAATGTTTTTTCTCTAGCTGCTGGGGACAAAGGAAGGGCACATTTTCTCCTTAGGTATTTGAGAATCATTTTTGCTAATACTGTTTATTGAGGAGAATTGTATGCTTAAAGCCAGCCTTCAACATTTTTTAGTTAGCCACATAAGAATTCAGGCCAGAGAAACATTAATTTTTTTCACATGAGAAAATGGAATTAGTAGGCCGGGCACGGTGGCTTACGCCTGTAATCCCAACACTTTGGGAGGCCAAGGTGGGCGGATCATCTGAGGTTAGGAGTTCAAGTCTAGCCTAACCAATATGATGAAACCCCATCTCTACTAAAAATATAAAAATTAGCTGGGTGTGGTGGCATGTGCCTGTAATCCCAACTACTTGGGGGGTTGAGACAGGAGAATTGCTTGAACCCGGAGGCAGAGATTGCAGTGAGCTGAGAGCTATACATGCAACAGAGGACTCCATTGCACTCCAGCCAGGGCAACAAGGCAAAACTCCGTCTCAAAAAAAAAAAAAAAATGGAATTAGTAGAATTATGTTTCTTTGAAAGCAGTACATTTAGGAAATTTGTAAAGTTCTTCATCTCTGATAATAAAAGCCAACTTACATTAAGCAATTGTTTTATTAAATATTTTATGTGGATTATTCTACTTCATCTTCAGACTATTTTATATGCTAAATGACATTCTCTCCCAATTAACCAATGAGACTTTAAGACACATTTTATTAAGTATCAGAGCTTAAATCTGAAAATCATATCCCAAAAGACTAACAAAAAGACTTGAAGTTTGTATTAGTTACTTCAAAAGACCATCTCTTAAATATTTATTTATTTATTTATTTTTTGACAGAAGCTTGCTCTATCGCCAGACTGGAGTGCAGTGGCACAGTCTGGCTCGCTGCAACCTCTGCCTCCTGAGTTCAAGCGATTCCTCTCGCTCAGCCTCCTGAGGTCCATTATATCATTCTTATGTCTTTGCATCCTCATAGCTTAGCTCCCACTCATAAATGAGAACATCTAATGTTTGGTTTTCCATTCCTGAGTTACTTCACTTAGAATAATGGTCTCAACTCCATTCAGATTATATCCAATGCCATTATTTCATTCCATTTTACGGCCAAGTAGTATTCCATAGTGTATATACATGTGTACACACACCATATTTTCTTTATCCACTTGTTGATAGACATTTAGGCTGGTTCCATATTTTTGCAATTGTGAATTGTGCTGCTGTAAACATGTGTGCAAATGTCTTTTTCATATAATTACTTCTGGCTGGGTACAGTGGCTCACACCTGTAATCCCAGCATTTTGGGAGGCTGAGGCTGGCAGATCACTTAAGGCCAGGAGTTTGAGACCAGCCTGGCCAACATGGTGAGACCCCTATCTCTATCATTCAAAAAATAATAATAAAAGAATTTTATGTAATGTGTTCTTTTCCTCTGGATAGATACCCATTAGTGGAATTGCTGGATCAAATGGTAGTTCTACTTTTAGTTCTTTAAGGAATCTTCATACTGTTTTTCATAGTGGTTGTACTAGTTTTCGTTCCCACCAGTAGTGTAGAAGTGTTCTCTCTTCACCACAAACATGGCAATGTCCATTATCTTTTGATTTTTTAAAATTATGGTCATTCTTAGAGGAGTAAGGTGGTATCACACTGTGATTTTTATTGGCATTTTCCTGATCACTGATAATGTTGAGCGTTTTTTCATATGTTTGTTGGCCATTTGTATATCTTCTTTTGAGAATTGCCTATTCATGTCCTTAGCCTACTTTTTGATGGGATTATTTGTTTTTTTCTTGCTGATTTGTTTGAGTTCCTTGTAGATTCTGGATGTTAGTCCTCTGTCAGATGTATAGTTTGTGAATACTTTTTCCTACTCTGTGAGTTGTCTGTTTACTCTGCTGATTATTTCTTTTGCTGTGCAGAAGCTTTTTAGTTTAATTAAGTCCCATCTATTTATCTTTGCTTGTGTTGCATTTGGTTTTGGGTTCTTGGTCATGAACTCTTTGCCTAAGCCAATGTCTAGAAGAATTTTTCCAATGTTATCTTCTAGAATTTTTATGGTTTCAGGTCTTAGATTTAAGTCTTTGATCCATCTTGAGTTGATTTTTGTCTAAGGTGAGAGATGAAGCTCCAGTTTCATTCTTCTATACGTGGCTTGCCAATTATCGCAGCACCATTTGTTGAATAGTGTGTCCTTTCCCCACTTTATGTTTTTGTTTACTTTGTCGAAGATCAGTTGGCTATAAGTATTTGGCTTTCTTTCTGGGTTCTCTATTCTGTTCCATTGGTCTACATGCCTGTTTTTATACCGCTGCCATGCTGTTTTGGTAATGATTGTCTTGTAGTATAGTTTGAAGTCAGGGACTGTTAAGTCTCCAGATTTGTTCTTTTTGCTTAGTCTTGCTTTGACTATGCAGGCTCTTTTTTTTGTTCCATATGCATTTTAGGATTGTTTTTTCTAGTTCTGTGAAGAATGATGATGGTATTTTGATGAGAATTGCATTGAATTTATGGATTGCTTTTGACAGTATGGTCATTTTCACAATACTGATTCTACCCATCCATGAGTGTGGGATGTGCTTCCATCTGTTTGTGTCATCTATGACTTCTTTTAGCAGTGTTTTGTAGTTTTCCTTGTAGAGATCTTTCACCTCCTTGATTAGGTATATTCTAAGTTTTTTGTTTTCTGGTTTTTTTGTTTTTGCTTTTGTTTTGTTTTTGCAGCTGTTGTAAAAGAGGTTGAGTTCTTGATTTGATTCTCAGCTTAGTCGATGTTGGTATATAGCAATGCTACTGATTTGTGTACATTAATTTTGTATCTTGAAACTTTATGGAATTTATTTATCACATCTAGGGGCTTTTAGGGTTTTCTAGGTATATGATTATATCATCAGCAAACAGCAGGTTTGACTAACTGTTTACCAATTTGGATGCCCTTTATTTCTTTCTCTTGTCTGATTGCTGTGGCTAGGACTAGTCACTACTTTAAAATGCAAATAATTCAGCAAGGACCATAAGTTGTAAATAGGAACGGGTAAATCAGTGTATAGTGAAGACCATTAGAGAGATTCAGGTGATGTGCCTTGGGAATTCATGTGGAGGTGGCATTGATTAGATTCTGGTCATCACTGTAACTAAGTCCATGGAATATATATGGACGTTAGTGAATGTATTCTGTAAGCTTTTACTGTCTAATTTTTTCTTCAAGTGATGTTAGATAAAAAGTGAAAGTAGGCCAGGCGTGGTAGCTCATGCCTGTAATCCCAACAGTTTGGGAGGCCTAGGAGTGAGGATCTCTTGAGCCCAGGAGTTTGAGACCAGCCTAGGTAACATGTAAGACCCTGTCTCTAAAAAAAATGTTTTTAATTAACTAGGCATGGTGGTACACACCTTTAGTCCCAACCAGTCAAGAGACTGAGGCAATAGGATTACTTGAACCCAGAAGCTTGAGTTTGCAGTGAGCTATGATCACACCACTGTACTCTAGCCTGGATGACAGAGCAAGACGCCTTGCCCCTTTAAAAAAAAAAGAGAGAGAGAGAGAGAGTTTAGCATTAGTCTGGATGACATTGTGGCTAAGTAACAAAACAAACCCAACTTTTATCACACACATTTGTGTGTGTGTGTGTGTACACATGTATTTTTTAAGTTAATGCATGAATAATGTTAAAATGATTATGAAATATATTCAAAAAAGAAAATCAAGATAGCAACTAAAATAAAAGTAATGGTAACATACGATCATGTTGTAATGTAACAGAATAAATAAATTACCAGATTTCTCAATGTATTGACGTCCTATAGCCTGTGTCTCAATGCTTGTCTGTCTTTTTAATGACCCAGTGATATTGCACATTCTGTTTTTTCATCTTAATTTTCTTTTGACAGTATATCTGAAATTTTTTTATTTTATTAAATACATTTCTCTACTTAACATCTGATAGCTTCTTGGTATTCTATTACGTGTATATTTTGTATTTAGCAAGGCAGTTTGTACTCAACACAGAACCAGGCCTAAGCATTTCCTTCTGTGCTGTGTTCTCTCTCATATTTTGACCAATTTCAACTGATTCTGATGCCCTAGAGGAGGTTCTAGTTTGAGGCCAGGCACGATGGCACATGCCTGTAATCTGAATACTTTGGGAGGCCAAGGTGGGTGAATCACCAAGACCAGCCCCACCAACATAGTGAAACCCTGTCTCTACTAAAAATACAAAAAAAATTAGCTAGGTGTAGTGGTACGCACCTGTAGTCCCAGCTACTTGGGTGGCTGAGGCAGGAGAATCGCTTGAACCTGGGAGGCAGAGGTTGCAGTGAGCTGAGATCTCACCACTGCACTCCAGCCTGGGCGACAGAGCGAGCCTCCATCTCAGAAAAAAAAAAAGCTTCTAGTTTGAACGGTGAGTCCTCTCTCAGCCTTGGAAGGTGGGAATGAAGGCAAGTGAATCTTCTCATGGAGAAACCGAGCAGCCAAATCTCAAGTCTAGATCAGCCTTCCCAAATTGGAGGCTTGTCCAGAAAACATCTTGTTATCTTGTCTGGATCTGGCTTTAATGAGCCAGTGACTTACTCTAAAACTACCTTTGTATAGCTAGGTTTCCTGGGGTGTGAAGGAGTGCTTAGATTCATTGTCTGTTTTTCCTTAAGTTATGTGTTCAGTTATGAGGGATTAATTTGGAAGGAGAAATAGAGGAGGAGAAAGATTTTATTAAATTAAGTCATATTGGGAACACTAACATCTCTTTTCTTCTCTCAGCTCTGGATTCTCTGGAGTTTGAATGTTTCCAGTATTGGAACTCCACCAAGTAGGACTGATCAGGTCTTACAGTTCTAAAACCATGACCTGTGTAAGTTGATTAATTCTGTTTCCTTGCAATATCATGATCATAGGTTATGTGGATTTTTTCATTAACCTAAGGCTTCCTGTTTAAGAAGGCCCCCTTCAGTTATCTGTCCCCACTTTCTTCTAATACAGTGAATAGTGATAGCAAATAACTCAGTTTTCTCCCTATGAGTATTTTCTGTCCACTTTTATATTTATTGTCAAATGTATTTAATACTCATGTGCTTATTCTTCAACCAAAGTCTATGATAGAGCAGTAAAGGAGTGAAGTCTCAACAGGGAAGTATTTGAACTTCCTTTATAGGTCCTTAGTTTGGTGAATTAGAGATGTTGGTCCTATTTGGGTACCATAGGTAGGCTTTGACATTCTCCACAGACCTCAGTTTTCTAGGCAGATAAGGTGGGATTTGGTTATCAATTGGTCTGTCTTAGTATGCCATGAGATCTCATATTCTTTAAGAATTTTAGTATTGTTAGAGATATACCATGGATCTTGCTGAGGAATTACTGAGAGACAAGTTTTTATTTTGTGGTTGAATGTGTGCTGCTGAACTTGGATGACATCTTTTTGATTATGAGTCATCCTATATCAGTATCCATTCCGGAACAAGAAAAGTATTAAATGATGGAAAATGGCAATAAATGAGAATATTATCCTAAGGAGTAAATATGCTGATTTCCAGAACTGGGGAGGACCTTTGAAGTTTTGTCCAACAAAGAATATGAAGGTAGGCTAGCCACGGTGGTTCATATCTGTAATGCCAGCACTTTGGGAGGCCAAGGCGGGAGGATCACTTGAGGCCAGGAGTTTGAGACCCCTTGCAAAAAAAGTGAGACCCCCATCTCTACAAAAAAAGTACAAAATCAGCTGGGCCTATAGTCTCAGTTACTCAGGAGGCTATGGCAGGAGGATTGCTTGAGCTTGGGAGGTCAAGGCTGCAGTGAACTGGGATTGTGTCACTGCACTCCAGCCTGGGCAACAGAGTGAGCCTGTCTCAGAAAAAAAAAAAAAAAAAAAAGATTTAAAAAATGTACATGAAGGTAAAAGATGGATTAACAATGGAGTAAGTCTGAAGTATTCATAATAAAATTGATTGTTGCACAGTCAATAAAAAATGTATTTGTCAAAATAAAGAAAAATGCTTATTATGTGCTCTGACATAATGATGTAACTTGAGGCTTGTGGAAATATCTAAATGTTCTGCAAAAGCTTTTTTAAAAAAAAAAAAAATATGGAAATTGGCCAGGTGCAGTGGCTCATACCTGTAATCCCAGCACTTTGGGAGGCTGAGGCAGGCAGATTGCTTGAGCCCAGGAGTTTGAGACCAGCCTGGGCAACATGGTAAAACCTGTCTCTACAAAAAATACAAAAATTAACTGGGCGGGTCTTGCCCACCTGTAGTCCCAACTACTAGAAAGGCTGAGATGGGAGAATCACCTGGGCCTGGGAGGTCAAGGATGCAATGAGCCATGTTTGAGTCACTGCACTCCAGCCTGAGCAAGATTAAGACCCCATCTCAAAAAAAATAAATAAATAGAACAAAACAATAAAATATGGAGATTATTAAATTTGACAAGGACATCTCATTTTTCTAACTTGAAGGAGAAATAGTTTAGAAACTCATGTTTATTGGGAATTTACGCATCACACGACTAGCAGACTATGTAGTTGTGGGAAAGGATTTTACTTTTAATACTTTATTGAATTTTATTTTATCCGTTCCTCAGCAGGTCTGAATTATTGTGGGAGCCTTCCACATGCAGAAAAGTTTGTCTGTGGCAATAGGATCCTTTAGGAATATGTAGACACATTGCTTTAGTCTGCTACCAGTCATTAGCCACGTATGCTATATCACTCCTTTTCTCCAGTGTGCTCTTTTAATATCCTGTCTTTCCATCTTTAAAATGTTTTTAAAATTATGTAATGAATGGGTTTGCAGTTTCAGGAATTAGTGACATTCAGGGATGTGGCCATAGACTTCTCTCAGCAGGAGTGGGAATACCTGGACCCTAATCAGAGGGACTTATACAGGGATGTGATGTTGGAGAACTACAGAAACCTGGTCTCACTGGGTAAGTTTATTTGCCTCAAGTAATTTAAAATGTGATCTGTGATGTGTTACCTTTCAGTGCAGTGAATTTCAAGGCTGTATTTTACATAGTTGAAGTTCTTCTTCCTGTTCTTAGAGGAAGATTTCAGCTCTGCCTGTTTGACAATGGCTGTGCCACCAAACACCATCATTTTCTTCATCCTTTAGAGATAGTCACATATTCTCCTGCCCCTTATGATTGCCTCCTTTCCTTAATATCCAAGGGACTGGGTTAAAATTGTACATTATTATTATAAAATTATATATTATTAGTCCATGAATAACCATTGTCCAGGAATCCTGGTTTCCCATTGTGTATATTTCCAGAATTCCTATAGATATGCTGTGTCATCATCTGATCCACCTGCAGGGACAACAGATGCAGATGCATGATTTACTCTGAGTATGAGAAGAACCCCTGTGACTTATATAGTGCTGGATTAGATGAACAATATTTGTTGAAAACTGAAGAGTCCACATTTCATTTCCTGTAGCCAATTTGTATGATTTATTGTTGAAAGTTATAATTCATGAACTTTGCATTGAGTTTGAATGAAGGTTTTATACATCAATTGGGATGCTTTTTTTTTATCTCATACAGAAATAATAAGATAATCATAATTGGTACAACTGTGGTCATTATGTCCCCAGCCACTCTTCATTAGGGAGGGGGAATATATATATATATATATATGAAATAACTTAATCCTCAAATAACTGTGTGTACTATTGTTATTATCTTATTTATTTATTTATTTATTTATTTATTTATTTATTTATTTTGAGACTGGGTCTTGCTCTGTCACCGAGGCTGGAGTGCAGTGGTGCAGTCATAGCTCACTGTAGCCTTGACCTCCTGGGCTCAAGTGATCCTCCCGCCTCAGCCTCCTGAGTAGCTGGAACTATAGATGCACCACCCTGCCTGACTAATTTTTTTTTTTTGTAGAGATGAGGTCTCGCTGTGTTGCCCAGGCTGGTCTCAAACTCCTGGTCTCAGTGATCGTCCCACCTCGACCTTCCAAAATGCTGGGATTACAGGCGTGAGCCACTGCACCTAGCCAATAGTGGTATTATTATGCCCAGTTTATTTGCCAAATTGGAATAATGAGTTGAAGTCACATGGCCAAAGTCACAAGGTTGGTAGATTTAAGAGGAATAATTTGTGCCCCAGCCTTCTGGCTCTAGAGAACTTCAGAGCTACTTTGGGGTAGTAATATTTGGAAATAGACATTTTATAAGGTCACAAGTTAAACTTTCTCCTAAGAGACAAAGCGTGTATGAGTTTACATTAAAATAAGGTTTTACCGTACCTGCTTCATTTCTTCAATCATCTCACCCCTCTTGTATTTGAAGTCCTTAGTTCATTGTAAATTTAACCAAAGCTCAAAGGTTTCTGTTACTTTTGTTTTTATTTTTATACCATGTGGCATTTCTTTTCTTATAAGGAGGACATTCCATTTCTAAACCAGTTGTGGTGGACTTACTGGAGCGAGGAAAAGAGCCCTGGATGATTTTGAGGGAAGAAACACAGTTCACAGGTAAGGAAGGCAGGGGACACCATCAGGGCCAGCCACAGCCCATGTGGTAAGAGAAAGGAGACACTTTTGTGTCACTTTGTTTGTGAAGCCCTCCTCCAAGACACCCAGACTTGTGGAGCAAAAGCCTACAACCTGGTGGGGAATAAAGATCACAGCATAAGCTATAGAAGAAGCTTCAACTTTACCCCATTTACCAACCACCTTATTTCTTTTCTATTTCAAACCCGTTTTCAGTGATGGGTGCTTTCTTTTTTCTTTTGTTTTCTTTTTTTTTTTTTTTTTTCCCAAGACAGAGTCTTGCTCTGTCACCGAGGCCGGAGTGCGGTGGCTTGATCTCCACTCACTGCAACCTCCACCTCCTGGGTTCAAGCGATTCTCCTGCCTCAGCCTCCCAAGTAGCTGGGATTACAGATGTGTGCCACCACCCCCGGCTAATTTTTGTATTTTTAGTAGAGACAGGATTTCACCGTGTTGGCCAGGCTGGTCTCGATCTCCTGACCTCATGATCCGCTCGCCTCGGCCTCCCAAAGTGTTGGGATTACAGGTGTGAGCCACTACACCCAGCCTCTTTTTTCTTGAGTGCAATATTTTACCTGTGTTTTGGACTCAGCTGTTTTTCCATCTCCCCTTTTGCACACACACACAACACACATATCAATGTAGTGATCATGAGCAAGACATGTAAGGTCCTTATCCTCATAGAAGTTTACATTGTACTAAAGAACACATAAAAATAAATAGATAGGCCAGGCGCAGTGGCTAACACTTTGGGAGGCCGAGGCAGGTGAATCACGAGGTCAGGAGTTCAAGACCAGCCTGGCCGGTCTTGAATGGTGAAACCCTGTCTCTACCAAAAATACAAAAATTAGCCGGGCATGGTGGCAGGTGCCTTTAATTCCAGCTACTTGGGAGGCTGAGGCAGGAGAATCGCTTGAACCCGGGCGGCAGAGGTTGCAGTGAGCCGAGATCGCACCTTTGCACTGTAGCCTGGGTAGCAGAGTGAGACTCTGTCTCAAAAATAAAATAAAATAAATAGGCAAACAAATACTATTAGACAGTAGAATAAGCAATGGTAGAAAGTAACAGAGATTAGGCCTTTTTGGATGAGATGGCCTGGGATAGCTTCCTTGGGGTGGTAGTATTTGGAAAGAGACATGGTATAAGGTCACGGGCCATGTGTTTATCTGGGGAAGAATATTCCAAGCTGAATAATGAGCTTGGAAGGCTAAGGAGATGACTGGGTCAGTGGAGGGAAGGAGTGTGGAGAGTCAAGGGAGGAGAATGGAGAGAGCTATGTGAGTTTGAGGAGCACCAAAGTAGACCAGAATAGAGATCCTAAGAGGAGAGTGACAAGAAATGAGGTCACACTGTTAGGAGGAGTCAGATCATATGAGGTATTGTTGAATTTGAATTGTTGGAAATACGAAGGATTAGAAACAATGATGTAATTGTTTTCAAGGCATTTTTGAAAACAACAGACAGATTCAGAGAACAACATGTAACAAATGCGTAGCTTACTGAGTCTTGTAAGTTAAACAATTATGTCACCACAGCTGGGTCAGGAGTTAAAACTTTAAAACATTTTTTTATTTTAATATAATTTTAGAGTTACAGAAAGGTTGTAATAATGACATACAAGATTCTTTTATACCCTCCAAGCAGTATTTCTAAACAAGGCGATAGTTTCTAGTTAATTCTGAAGTCCTCCACATGTCTCCAACCAGTCACAATCTTCTTCCTCCTGCTAAGTGTAACCACTGTTCTGATTTTAATGGTAATAAGTTCCTTCCTTTTATTCTTTCTCCAATTTCAAGTCTTTTTAAGTTTTCACAAGTCTCTAAGTTTTGTCTTCATCTTTCTTTGTGTTCCTAACCCCTTAGTTGCTGAAGAAACATCTTCCATTCTAGATTTTGCTGATGCCATCCCTGAGATTTGCTTAAATATGTTCTCTGACCCCTCTATATCCTCTAAATAAGTAGAGGGATCAAGAGGCTTATGTATCTGAGTCCAGAGCTCACACTGCTCACTGCACAACAACCAGTAAGTCAAGAGACAAGGTGTTAGGGCAAGGAACTTTACTTCAGAGAGCCAGCAAACGGAGAAGATGGCAGACTAATGTCCTAAAGAACCATCTTAAAAGGCATGAATCTCACGCCATTTTTTATGTTGGGCAAAGGGGAACAAGGAGGAGGTTGAGGTCAGGAGGTGACTGGCGACTACAGATATCTGGGCGTCAGCAGGGGTCTGAGAAGGTTGCACAGCGTTGTCCTTGGTCAGGTCACAATGCTCCTGTAAATCTTTAACATAACGTTGTTACTTGTATGTACACCCTCCCTGTCTCCTTGGGAATTACTAATAGTTTTGGAAAGGGATTATTATCCTTGCTTTAAAGTTATACTATAAACTAAATCCTCCCATTGTTAACTTGGCCAGCATGCATGAATGAGCAAACGCCATTAGCTTGTGAGGTTAGAAGTAAGGTGGAGTCAGCTATGCCAGATTTATCTCACTGTTACACTTAGTCGATTTTGATTCAATTTATTTTATTTAGTTTTTTGCAAGACAACTTCCTGGGCAGTGTTGTATGCATCATATGTTGGCACTTTTCCTGCTCCCCTCATACCAGAGAGAACTGGGCTTACGGTTTACTGTGTTAAAGGAAAACACCACCTCTAAAGAGCTTTATTTAGTGTCTCAGGGGCGGGAGGGCAAGGATGGCTTTTACTGAGAATTAAAAGTGTGGTTTAAGGCTGATCTTCATGCAGGGACTTGATTAGGATTAGGTAAAGATGACAATATCACAGTGGAGAATTAGTGGAAACAGCTAGGTTAGAATTTTGAGGTTAGGAACTGAAAATTTTCTAGAGTACAAACTGTTGATGTTTGCCATTTAGGAGTTAATGGATCGCTGGGCTGGGCGCGGTGGCTCACGCCTGTAATCCCAGCACTTAGGAGGCCAAGGCAGGTGGATCACGAGGTCAGGAGATCGAGACCATCCTGGCGAACACTATGAAACCCCATCTCTACTAAAAACACAAAAAAATTAGCCGGGCATGGTGGTGGGCACCTGTAGTCCCAGCTACTGGGAAAGCTGAGGCAGGAGAATGGTGTGAACCCGGGAGGCGAAGCTTGCAGTGAGGTGAGATCGCGCCACTGCGCTCCAGCCTGGGCGACAGAGTGAGACTCCGTCTCACAAAAAAAAAAAAAAGTTGGTGGATCTTTCAGGAATTTCCAGTAATGAACAATGAACAATGAAACCATTTGCCTATGCAAGAAACTTCCAGAACAGTATAATTGTGCTGAGGAAAACAGTGGGATAGTGACATCATGTTTATGTAGACAGTAAGCTACCTGTGGGGGGATTGGTAGGGCCACTTCTATGTTTCAAGGCTGAGTGTGGGAGTGAATGGTTTAGGTTCTCAGCATAAACTTTCTGGTTGTCTCTCTTTCTGTGATTTTTAGCAAGCATTTATGCTCAGTGCCTGGATGTATTAATTCATCAGACATTCTAAAACAGCCATATTGTAATTCTAACATTTATTTTTTATTTATTATGTACAAATATAAACAATTTCTTACATCACCTACTATTTGGTAACTACTGATGCCATTTGTAAAATAAAGACTAGATCAGTGTTTGGTCTTTCTCTTTCTCTTTTCTTGTTTTTTGTTTTGAGGTGGAATTTCACTCTTGTCACCCAGGCTGAAGTGCAATGGCACGATCTTGGCTCACTGCAACCCCCACCTCCTGGGTTCAAGCCATTCTCCTGCCTCAGGCTCCCAAGTAGCTGTAATCACAGGCACGTGTCACCATGCCCGGCTAATTTTTATATCTTTAGTAGAGACGGGGTTTCTACCCATCTCTAGACCAGTAGAGATAGGCTGGTCTCAAACTCCTGACCTCAGATGATCCACCCGACTTGGCTTCCCAAAGTGTTAGGATTACAGGCATGTGCCACCCTGGCCCCTAGGATCCTTCTTATGTGGCTAGATAGTTTTTGTTTTAGTTTTAGTTTTAGGTTTTTTTTTTTTTTTTTGAGACTGAGTTTTGCTCTTGTTGCCCAGGCTGGAGTGCAGTGGCACAATCTCAGCTCACCGAGATCTCAGCCCACTACAACCTCTGCCTCCCAGGTTCAAGCGATTCTCCTGCCTCAGCCTCCTGAGTAGCTGGGATTACAGGCATGTGCCACCACGCCCGGCTAATTTTGTGTTTTTAGTAGAGATGGGGGTTTTACCATGTTGGTCAGGCTGGTCTCGAACTCCCGACCTCAGGTGATTGGCCCACCTTGGCCTCCCAAAGTGCTGGGATTACAGGCATGAGCCACCGCGCCCAGTCTTAGACAGTTATTTTATTGCCAGTTTTTTCCCATCTGATATGACAAAGTGTTCCAGGCTTATCTTGTACATTTCCTGTACCAAGCTTTTAGCCATAAGTTTGTGAACTGTTGGGTTCTTTTAGTGGGAAATGGTATTTCAAGGCCACAGTCTAGCTGCTAGAAGTGCCCATTTTTCTGGGTTGAAGATTGTTATAGGCTTTTTACCAGCTAAAGATTAAAAAATTCATAAGTGACCGGGCGTGGTGGCTCATGCCTATAATCCCAGCACTTTGGGAGGCCTAGGTGGATGGATCACCTGAGGTCAGGAGTTTAAGACCAGCCTGGCCAACATGGTGAAAAGCCATCTCTACCAAAAATACAAAAATTAGCCAGGCGTTGGGGCAGGTGCCTGTAATTCGAGCTACTGGGGAGACTGAGGCAGGAATATCACTTGAATCCAGGAGGCGGAGGTTGCAGTGAGCAGAGATCATGCCACTGTACTCCAGCCTGGGCAACAAGAGCAAAACACTGTCTCAAAAAAAAAAAAAAAAATCGATAAGTATACATATGTGTGTTACATAGTTACATAAAAATAAATTACCAATTACCTAATGAGTTTATATGGCAGCTTCCTGGCCAAACTTAGAACTAAATGGTGTTTAATTGAAATTTTCTGTCTTTGAT